ATGACCATAAACGAGATTTACATCCCTCTTACTAACAATGCTAACACTTTAAGTGAGCTCATATTAAGGTTTGATTATTACAATGGGAGGTGCTAATTTTGTTATGTCACTCGAAGGTGAGAATATGTTCTAAATTGGTCGGACAATACTTGGTCATGTTTTATGAACATTTAAACCCCTCGGCTACCCCTTGGGTTTTAAATATTCATAAAACATGACCAAGTATTATCTAACCTATAAGTAAAGCTACACAATTGATTAAAAGATAACTAAAATTGATATCAAACTCAAACTTGTTCTTTTTGAAATATTTAATATTCAAATAACACTTTTAGCTGTTTCATAAAATGGCCGTTGGTGGTAACATCAAAGACTTGTTAATACCGTTAAGGACTGCATTCCAAAACATACCTTCACCGAAATCTTCTGTAAATATTAAATGTGGAGTTGTGTTTAGAAGTGTTCTTAGTCCACTTGTCATATGTTTAGAGTCAATCTGACGGTACATTATTAAAACTAACGCATTCATGCCTTGACGACGTCTTCTCTCTAGAGCTAAGTTCACTTCCCATTGGCACCATTCACTTTTGGCGAAATCATTGGACATAACAACGATAATTTTCCAACTTTTGTTCATAAATTTCTCAATATTATTTATGATTGGTTCTCCAATCTGGAAATCTCGATGGTGGATACAAATTTTCAATTCATTACCTTCCAATCTTTTTATCAAGTCATTATGTACCCACTGCCGATCGGAATCGCAATATACGACAAAAGCGTCAAAATCAAAATCGTTGCACGACATTAGTTTCAAATAACCTTTTTTAATGCGGTGATGAACACGGGCAAAATAAAGCAAATTCTTTATGTTAATGTGACATCTATACAATATGAACGCTGAGAAAAAAACAAATATCAAAACAGAGCAAACAGCTATTATAATAATGGATGTAAAATAATTAATCTCGCATTCAGCATCAGTTGGTCTATAACTATCAAGTAAAGAGTTCTTTAGATTCTCCGGATATGCACAGGAGTAAAATTTAGGCCAATTACGAATCTTTTTAGTAATATTGGTTGACCGCAACATGTCTAAAAACCATCTTTGATCACATGTACACCAAAATGGATTGTTTGAAATTTCAAATATTTCCAGTTTATTTAACAACATTCTTGGAAACGACGTCTTGTTTATAATGTGAATTAGATTTCCATCCAAATGCAATTTTCGTAAATTCGTCATATTTGCAAATGTTGATGGATGCCATCTTGCTATTTTGTTGCCAATTAGAGTTAATTCTTGTAAAAAAGGCATGTTTTGAAATAGTCCTTCTGGGATTTCTGCTAGTCCAGTAGTTTCCATATATAATTTGCGCAACTTTTTTAATGGGGAAATAATCCCCAAAACATGCTGTTTCTTATGAGGCAAGTAATTTTTACTTAAATCCAGTTTCCTCAAGTTGTACGTGTTTATAAAAAGGTCCCGGAAATGGTACGTATTATCGTTATCAAATCGAAAACCATTTTGTCTAAATTGTAAAATGCGAAGCGAGGTACTATTAAAAGCCTTCATTCGAATTCTTTTCAATCGTGGAATATTGTTAATAGATAATCTTATCAGACTTGGCAACGTAGAAAATCCATTTTTCGTCAGCTCTTTCATTATATTACCATCGAGAACTAAAGTTTCGAGACTTTGTAAGCATTTAAATGAATTTGGTAATATAAGTCTAATTGTATTTTTTGAAAGTGTCAAATATTTTAACATTGGAGCCAGACTATGCTTTCCTGTAGCATCACAAAAATCTGGTACTTCGATAATATTATTATTGGTAAAGTCAATTGATTCCACTGTCTTCAACCCGTTTGCATTTAGATATGTTATAGAGCATTTTTTGCAAACAAACTTCCTCAATCCAGACATTGGTTTAAATATGGAGGCATTCATTATTTCAAAACCATTTTCTTCTAATGACAGAACTGACAAGTTAAATCCAGCTAAATAAGCAAACAAATTATCTGGTAATGAAGTCCAGCCGTTACGTTTTAAAAACAATTTTTTGAATAGTAATACGTTCAAACTTTTCAATGATGATTTAAAATGTAATACATCTAATTGCTTTTCACAGGAAACTTCTAAGGTCTTCAAATATTTAAAATCTGAAAATGCGTCAGTTGATATTGTCCTAATTGAATTATATTTCTTAAATGCTAAGTGAATGATTTTGTTAGATGAAATATTTTGAAAAGTTTGTCTCGTAATATGCGGTAAATAACACCATCTTAGTTCCAAAGTCAAAACAGATTCATTTAAAAATGGAATATAACGTAGACATTTGCAGGTTGCTTTACTATTATTAACAAAGCAGCACTTGTTGGAAATTTTTCGACAATTGTCTTTGTTTTCAGTAAGACAAAAACAAATATATCCAATACATACAGAAAATAAAATAAAAGCAATCCTCTTCATATCCATCACTTATACACAAACATATTACTTGTGACACGATAACTTTATGACAACTATATAAATGTAGTGTTTATATTTCCTTATTGAAATTTATAGTTTCAGTTGACTGTTATTTTAATGAAAAATTTATTTTTATTTCCTGTCACATTATTGTTAAAATGTTCAAATAAATTTTTGGGGCTCAAAAGGATCCACTAATTGTTCTTTTTTTTTGTTATTTTCATTTCAAGTGCATGCATATCATTAACAAATTATAGACATCTGTTAAGAATAACAATGTTATATAATGCATGTCACTCTGTTCTTTTTCCTGATATTAACATTATCAATGAGGTGTTTTTCTAATTATTTCATCCGAATTCTGTACATAATAAACTAAAATAAACTCATCATAGATACCAGGATTAAAATTTTGTATGCCGTACATTATCCCAAGAACTCCTCTGTCATTGCTAATTGTCATTAATGTGTAGATATTTATACCCCTTGCTCTGTGCACATTTTTTAGAAATTTTTAATACCTCACAAAATAACCTTTTAAAAAGGCATGGGTTGACCCTTGAACATTTGAATAATTTGGGCTACCAACTCTACTTTTTATTTTATTTTCGTAAAAAATACAAATTGATATTGAAGAGATGTTCAAATTCATTGTAAAAATTCTGACATGGATCTATCCAAAAAATCATTTTTAAAATATAAAGATCTTATTTATCTTTTCAGTCAAGTAACATGTACTTCATCCTTTTCTTTTATAAATATCAACAGCTAGTAAGAATACTATTGAGTGCAGTCAAATCTCATGATATAAACGTTCCAGGCTGTAAATGCAACTACCAGACTTTATTTAGTAAACGTGGAGTTGTGATATGTAATGATACCAATATGATTATATAACAAAATATTCACCGTGAGGATCCTCTGTCATTGTGTGTTCACTCAACTGACAAATTAAGTCGACGTGAGTATGCGATACAAGCGTTTGATTTGTTTCCTATTGAAACCGATAATGAAAGTAATGAAATTTGTAAATCAGGTGTATGGTTTATTTTTAATATTTATTTAATATCACGGTAGTATTGTGTCCGGTTGAGATCGTGTTTGTTCGACTGAATAGACCGATGTTCTGCTTCCTTCTTAAATTATGATCTGTATAGAGTTAATATTATTTCTGACCCATCTTGCCGCAGCGGTGTGTATCGCGAATATTCGTATCATTTCTATTTTATATTTAGAAAAACGAGGTAAGCTTTTAGAAAATCTTAGATAGCTCCTAAGTAGCTGTTCATTAAATATCGGGTAGTTGTCTACTTACTCAGCAGCAAAATGAAAATATCTTTAAACATGTGTTTGAGTTTATTGAATGGTTGGAGAGATTCCTTATTGTTTAGATGGAAAAACATACACACATCATCATCTACGTTCAGTTAGGATTTTTTTCTATTAATTTATTTCCTTGTTGTTTTTAGTGTTCTATTTTTCTTTTGTGCCACTTAATTTTTCTGTCCAATTTATAAAAATGCTAAAATTTTATGTAAGGTATGCATGCTCTTATATATTTTATTGTTAAATATGTTAGATAGAGAAGATTTCATAAGTCTTTTTGACTTGTGTGTTTCAAGTTTGTGTTTATGCAAATAAAATATGTTTTATCTAAATCGATGTTTTTTTTTCTTGTGGAAACCAGGGGGGAAATTCGACACAATTAAATCGATTTACTGCTATGTAGAAGTAAAATAGTTTTATTCATTATCTTTCATCTTATTCTTAGGTACTATGCATGTTGTAAGCATAAATGATGCATAATTTCCTTGTATGTCGCTAAAAATTCGTCCTTTTACATTGTACAGGCTTTTTCGAGCACAATATTTAAAATGTCTTGGATTTTAAAGATATGATCCTAGTTTTGTTAAGAAAGTATGTACAAAAGAGAAGGCATTGAATTTATTGATTTTTATATCTGTAATTGAGGGGAAGCCAATAACATATATTCAGAAATTGTCACAATTAATATACAAAAATGTTTTAAACCCATAAGAATTTTTTTTATAAAATTAAAAAATCCTGACTGCTCTCAAAAAATTAGGAGGACATTCTAAGGCTAAATTATTCTAGGAAAACACAAACAAATGTTATATCTTGTTGTCACAATACTAACTCACATTGTATGATCTTGCATATTTAGTCTAAATGTCTGTGTCGCATCTTACCAAAAAGGGGGTATGTTTGTTTACATTTTAGATCATATTCACTCGAACAAAAGTTATCACACTCGATAAAACTCGATCAAATCACTCGAAAAAAGACGATCCCATACGAACACCATACCTACCGTGAATATGTTGAAGAAAGAATCATCTAATAAAGAGAAACTTGACTACTTGTTGTGTGTCCCTATGTTTCATATGAATTAACACTAATGATGTAAATGCAGCATAACGTTTTACGTTCGAAAAGTTCTCAGGTCTGTTACGCTTTCGATACTTTTCCCTTAAAAACACTTATTTGTTGTGCTTTTCACACACAGTTTATTCTCTGTCCGTTTAGTTGAACCCCAAGAGGGTCAACAGTAACAGTTCAACTGTTGAACCATAAATGTAAAATTATCACTGTAAATCCTGTCTCATGAAATCTTTTGTCATATATTGGTCCATATCTAGTGTGTTTAATACTCTCTTTTTACTAGTAAAATAACGAGAAATAATTATATAAACTCTTCCAAAAAGATAATGTTATTCAGATTGATTTTTCCGTATACCTGGGATATCAGCATCATAGTTTGTAGCTGTGACTGTTCGATAACGTAGATGGCAGAACTGGATAAACGGATCTAGAGTTATCTGTTGTCTGTTGAAGGCATAGTAAATATCGTGTCTGGATATACTGTTTATGAAGTACTATGTGTAAACTACTTTGACGTATAGTCACTATTATCAGAATTGGTCTAAATAAGAGCAATATGTTCATTTGCAAGTAAAACAAAACTTGAGCTAGTGTCTTTTTGTTATATATGGTGTTGCTTTTGGCGATTTATGTCGTTCGATATTGTCCATTGCTGTTTACCCCACATCTCCTTTGATTTCATATTCATATTACTTCACAAAAATATTTGTGATCATGTCGCAACCAAATATCTATATATTGGTAGGATAACACCGTTATTACCATACCTTGGGTTTTGTTCAAGTGCATTTAGATATATTGTCCTATTAATGAATACACATATTAGTACGGTGACAACAAGGGTAAATTAAAAGAAATAATGGACCGACATACTTAACGGCTGATATTGGTCTTATTGTGACTATTGATATCATTTCCTTTGATTAAACCCTGTCGTAGAGTGCTGAAGTTGTGCAGATTTTTGAACTGCGATCAAAGGTAAGAATTTCAAAAATCACAATTTTTTACATTTTGGACAATTGGTCGGAAACATTAAATGTGGACGCCCAAACTTTAGCAATTCATTTTTTAACCATACTGAACTATCATCATCTGTCAATTCTTTTTCGTTATTAAGTGACATTGGTAGTCCTGAACAGCCCCATGCATGCTCATCACCAATCTCACAAAAGGACAACGAAAAACAAAATGAAAAAGGTACAAAGATCCAAAATAAGTTACTTAGACCTTTAAAAATTTAAAAATAGTAAATATTAACTTCCAGTCTATGAAGAACAAAAAACCAGAGGTAAATTCAAATAATAAAAACATTCAAACTGACATCATAATAATGGATTTTGCAAAAACATTTGACAAAGTTTCACACCCTCACCTCATGTATAAAATCGTCTTTTATGATATAAATTACAATGCATTACATTTGGTACAAGACTTTTTAACAAACAGAACACAAACAGTAGTCCTTGAAGGTACAACAGCAAATAAAATTCCTGTAACATCTGGAGTAAAACAAGGCACAGTGTTTGGACCAATTTTATTCTTAATTTTTATTAATGATTTGGCAGAAGATATCAAACATAGTACATTAAGATTATTCGCAGATGACAGTATTATTTATAAAAAACCTGATGACACAAATAAATTAAAGTCTGATTTAGAAGCGGCCGGCAGATGGGAGCGGGACTGGCTCATGCATTTTAACCCTGATAAATGCAAAATTCTCAGTGTTACACAAAACGAAAACCGTTAAACTTCACTTACAAATTACATAATCACTCACTCGAAAAAGTTGTTTCTACAAAATATTAAGGCCTAACTATTCAATCAAACTTAAAATGGGATAAACATATCGATAACATGACATCAAAAGCAAACCAGTCTCTTGGATTGATTCGCAAAAACCTTTAAATAGCCTCACATAAGTTAAAGCTCGTGCATTCAAAGCTCTTGTCCGACGAAAATTACAGTACTGCTCAACCATTTGGGATCCATATCAAAAACAACAAATATCACAAATTGAAAAAGTACAGAGAAGAGCAGCCCGCTTCTCATGCAACGGTTCCACAACACCAGCTCAGTTACTGACAAGATGACAGACCTAAATTGGTACCCACTTGAAATTAGGCGTTTTGGATACAGACTTTTACTAAATTTCAAAACATTTCAGTAATTTTGCATGAATGAATGATGCTAGTACCTGATGCATGTGCATTGTTTTGTCAAAAACAGCCCATATTTGTGTAATAGAAGTATTCTTCTTTCAATAAATAGCTAAACGTTTATATCTTTAACAAATTTGTAAAACTGCTATATTTTGAGGCCAAAAAGGGGTCTTACCGGGCCTACTCCTTTGAATCAACTGCCACAACAAATAGTTCCATGCAGTACAGTACAGGGTTTTAAGAGTATGATACCAGAATCTGCTTTAATCCCTATTTTCTACCCTAAACTGATATTATTATCAAATGTATATAGTTTTATCTAAATGTTATTTTTCAAATGTCTTTATATTATTTTGATTTTGATTTTGATTTCTTTTTTCGGGTTACCTTGTAAAATATAAATCAAATTTTAAAGTCGACGCCCGGCGAATAATCTTCAATTAATGAAGGATCGCTAGAAAC